TTCAGATGCTTAAAATGTCGTAAAAGATGGCTTCAGCTGGGTTCCAAGTGAGTATTCCTTCAAAACAAAATTGGTATTCAAGTGAGTGTATTTCGCTAATTTCGTGCTGTTCGGGTTCAAGTAGAACAGAAAGTTGATGAAGTCCAAGAAGGGCGTAACCAGTCGTGGGCTGGCGAAGAGTTTTCATCAACCCAATGAGTAGTGTATTACGTCTATGCATGTATCGTGCTAACTCGATTACTGATGCCTGGTGCAGCATATTCGATTGCTTAAAAACATCACAAACGAGAGATTCAGCTGGAATCCAGGGGCATACTGAGTCAAAACCAGATTGTTTAGCCTACAAAAGAATCCCAAATTAGGGTGGAACCATTTTGGTAGTGCAGACGTACCCTACAACGGCCGATAAGTTTGGAGTGTACTGAAGAATTGTAGAATGTTAGGTTTCTCGATGGTGTGTCCTCTCCATCATTCACTGATGCGCCTACGGACTTCTACTAGTGAAAGGAAGAAGGTCTTTTGCTGCGGAGCTGTTTATCAGATTAACACCAACTGAACAGTTAAAGAATATTGAACACGGAAGCGAAACTCTCATATGCATCTTGTTTACAAAACTGAATATCCATATTATCTTGAACGCGTCTTCCTGGACTTTCCTGGATATTCATCGACTGTCACTCAAATGCAGGCAAATGCTACAAAGCAACTCCACAAATTCCGGAATACATCTAACCTTTCAAGAGACGCGAAGCGGATTTACCAGAAGACACTACTCGCATGCCGCAGCAGTATTATCCACCGTTACACTGGCAGCGCTTTTCTATGCAAGAAAGGCAAAATTGTGGTAAATCTAGGAGGAAATTAGATTGAAAAAGCAAGTCTTTTCTCATATGCACTATTTGGCACTTAAAACAACTCGACAACTTTCTTGTCCCTCTTCATAACGGACAAAAGTTCATTTCGTACTGCATTTCACATCTCGTTCATAAAAGTCAGATAATATTCGGAAACTGGCCAGTGAGGTGGTACACGAGGCTGTTTCAGTATGTCATCTGGCTAACCTATGTCCATGGCTACTGAGTTAGAGTGAACCAACGAGACTTTTGGTCAGTCCCACATCTCTGTTGGGTGCTGGTTCCCGGTAGGCTTCTCTTCTTCGTCATCTAATGACAAGGCGTATTCATTTGCGGTGGTAAAGGGGCTTCTGTTTTTTTCTCATCAAATAATTACAGAAAAATTCCAACTCAAAAATGTCCAACTTTAAAGTGGACAAAAACCGTCCTCCAAAACGTTCACCGGAATTTCAAAATTATGTAGCCTCATGGCAAATTCGCAATTATTTATTTACCGAGAAGTCCATGTGGTACGGACGATCCCAGTCCACCAGTTTTCCGACACTAAATTAGTTTATCAACGAATTCGAAGATCACCTTCAAAATCCAGCCATTCTGGTAACATCGTTGCCGCATTATTTGCCTAATGGCAGATCTGTGTAACTCAGCTTTTCCGTGTTCATTACCCCTGCATGTAACGTGTGAATAGTGTTCTTACTGGAATAACTTGTGAATTAGTGTGATTCACCTCTAGAAAAGGCGGGGTAATTGGTTATCCTAAATTCAGTTGAGGCAAAAATGACAATCTTTAGTTGGCATCGTCTAGAATCCTAAAACGTTTAAAGCTGATATGATGTCGTTGTCCACTCTGCGACAAAAGTCGATGGTGAGTGTTGTCTGGTAGTCAAGTGGTAATCATTGGTTTCGGATTAGCTTGAGGTAACCGAAATGCTCCCGAATAACGAGGCTCTTTTCAGACACGTAACAATCTGGAAAGTGTATTTCTCAGGGAGCAAAGTGTCCACTGGTTGGCAAAGACCTCTTCATCGGGGAAAGGCACTGGTTGAAATCCACGGTATTCACTTTGAAATTAAGAACAGCGGCCAAAGCTTACTTTGAATCGAATTTATCAGTGAATTCAGCTGTCGCCTGTTTGGTGAAATTTAGCTGTATCTGTCTAGCTGTTACGTCTGCGTTTACTTGTTGTCCCCTCCATTGGAACATTGGTCTTCAGACCAACCGTAATGTTTGACTTTTTCGGTAGTCTCCAAACTTGCAGTCATGTTGGTAGGGCAGTTTGTCCGTTAGTTGCACTTTGCCATATTATTCGGTCCTGTTGATATATCACCACAAAAGAATAGGACCATTGTGGGAATTCCAGAGTTTACTCCGAAAAGAAACTCAGTTAATCTCCACAAGGCAGCATGACTTGGAATCAACAAAGATTCACGGTTTAATTCAGTTATGAATAGAAAGAGAGCAAAGGTGGAGTTTAATGGAGATCAAGGAAACACGCTACAAGATCAGACAAAAGCCAGTTGAATTCACTCAAAGACGCCGGAAAACCATCAGAGTATTTCACAATGTACAAATGAAGGTGAACGACTGGCAAGGGCATACAGTGAGCAAGATTCGTTTGTTTTAGTCAGCAGTGCGGATCAATATTTAGGGCACCTCAAACAAACAATGGTTGGTCAAAACAGCGACTTAAGAGTCAGTCCGGAGCTGAGCCAATCACAGAACAAACAATGGGGATTTCGGAACGGCATCCAGCAAGACTGTTTACGGATTATTAAAGACCCAGAAGTTTTTTCAAGTAAGGCAAAATCAAGCTGAATCCGTGCTCTTAACTGATTTTTGGGATCACCAGAATTTACGAGCCTGACAGTTAATCGACTTGACTGGAAACTTGATCGACCCGCATAGATATTTCCCAATTCCAAATACGAGTGAAACAGCGATGCATTACTTCTCGACCACTTATGCGATGAAATCTCCATCGCAACTAATCCAGTCTCTTCACACCACCACTAACCTACAAGTGGCTCAGAGGAAGCATAATTTAAGAAGGCGTCATTCCAGAAGAAAGTCAACATATGGGAGGATGTAATGGGGTTTGTGTTGTTGAAAGAGAGTGGTGCTAGGTACATCTAAGTGTGGACTGCTCGCACTGCTGTCCAGCCACTCACCGCCAAACCACAAATTGTTCAACCATTTAAACGTCGCGGGTTCGAACCCCCCTCTGGAGATTGATGTTGATTCGCAGGAAGGATGAAACAGTTGTACAGCGCTTCTCAATTTTTCAGCATAGGCAGGCTTCACTGGCAGGATAAACTATCCGTTGAGAATTCTCAAATTTCCTTGTACTTCCAAAAAATGGGAGAATAGTAGAAATTACTGCCTGACTATTTAAGAGTAGTTCGAACCTGGGTCATTCTAGCATCGACTGGCTGTCAACAGGTGAGTGATCAAGAGCTGTCAAACGAAGTTTTCATCAATCTGCGTCTATTTGCGATTTGTGCAGTCTCTCAAGTGCTTTTATTGTGCGATCCACGTAAGGTGGATCGACACACGTCACGTCGTATCAAGCTATGCTGACATCTGGTAAGTATAAAACCCTAAAATGTCAGCCAGCCAGCCATACAGCTTCTACTGGTTCCGGAGAAACAGAAGAACCAAGACGGACGAATTTGCTTGTCCACAGCTTCAGAGTGTTTGCTATCGGTGCTAAGCAAAAACAAAATGAAATTGGTGCGCATATGAGTGTGCTTCAAATTTCTTCGTACACTTTAAATTCAAGTAGAACATAAAGATGACGGAAACGCCGGAACTGTGCCTATCTGATGAACCTTAAGAAGAGTGAAACTGTTGATTTACAGCGTCCTTGTGAGTAGTGTTTTCTTGAGAAAATTCACGCTACTTACTGTCCGTCAACGCTGAGCACAGTGAAGTTTACAGTGCAGCACTGTCAATCGGCAGACGTGATCAAGTGAAGTAAAACGGTATTGCATGTGCACTGTTTACTTACGGATATCGGTATGGCTAATGGCACATCCCTAAATCTCAAGTGATGTATGTATCAGATTGCGGCACGGCTATGAGACGTGGTCTCTGCCAGTAGCGGAATTAAGTTGTCTTTATGTTGTACCAGAACCACAGCTCATGCGCCGACGACTCCACAACGAGACACACGGTAAACGAGTGTTCAGTTGTGCGGCGGGGACTTTAGTCTGAAGATGTGTGCCCATCACCAGGTGTTGTGTTGGCTATGCCATACACTGTGAGTGCTAAACCATCGTTTCCGGTGCCCGATTCGAAGTGGAGCAAACAGAGAGGCAGCCAACCTTTGACCTAGCATAACAGTACGAGAGAGATAGCGAAAAGCACGTGTATTGTCGGTGTAGCCCGCTTTCCAGGATAGGGTCCGCGTTATCCGCTCACTATGCATGATTAAAGGAGCCACAAGCTGCAGATCGATGTCGGTGTTTTTGTCACTTTTTATTCATTTTTCTTGAGTCAGTGTTACGAATTGCACGCACCTTGGAATGGTTGTGGCAGACCAGCAGCGGGTTCTTCCTCTATCCATTTGTATTATTTTCTTCACAGTAAGGCTTTCAACTGGATTATGGTTGTACGGCAGTGAAGCATCAATGTTATGCTGTCGATCGCCTTCTAAATGATGAGCCAAGTCAGAAGGAACCACGAACAGGCTTGTGGTCTGTATACACATAACTGATTTTAACGGATTTTTACTGTGGCACATAACCAAGGGTTCATATGACGTTCCACCTTTCAAAGACTGATCAACATGTTCCCTGTGAAGTAGCGTTTCTTCCGCCTGTGCGATGTCAATTATGCGCATTCTTTTTAGTTTATCACGTGACTTGTCATATGCCGCTGTTGGAACTTTCCTCCAAATGGAGGCAACTCACAGAGAAGGCAAAATAGTTCTTTCCGCATCAGTTCATCCCCGGAACTGGGTGCATCTTCAGCTTGAAAACTACCTCTCTGCAGTCGCAACATCTTTAAAATACTAAAGGTGTGAAATTCCGTTTAATGGAGGGGGGACTATTTCCCACGGCCCACGACCCACGGACATAGACCGTGCTGTTTCTGTGGGATTTTCGCTAAAGATTTATTCACAAACTTTTATTCATCTTTACTTAGGAACGTGGTTGTGACTTTCTCCTTGTTATATCTGCTGATTCGTCAGTCTGTGGTATCTCCTGCTGTCCCGCTCCAGTGCCTAAAGCCGGAGAAAATAGACTCACAAAAGGGAACACAACCGCTATATTCTGAACAAGCGAATGCGGGAGCAAAAGTTACGACGGTCCCACGCTATTTAAAGGGGACTTTCTGACATTGATCCAGGCTGTTTGACAGGCGTCAGTGAACACCCATCAACATCGATCGTGCCTCTTAAAAAGCCTGAGAGCTGATCACATTCGGCCGTGCTTCTGTGGCGTGCAAGAACTGATTGAATGATTGACTGGCCTGGATGCTTGCCGGCTTTCCTGTTAAGTTTTTGGTGGAGCAGTAGGTTCCGGGCGTTCTGAGGTCGCTTTCAGGAATCTGACCTTCCTGATACTCCTAAAGCTTAATAGCAACACGTGCGACGGGATGCAAGCGGTTGTGGACGTGGGACCATGTCATTTCAAGTGAATCCGGTGTACATTACCTTAAAGTCATACCAATTTGTATTTGAGATTTTATTGTGTAAATGAAGACAACCTACGCTCAAAAACTGAAAGTCATTTTAAAACTGTTTCACTCTTATTAGGAATCATTAGCAATTCGTATCTCACGGGGGATTTCGAAAAAGCGAATTCCAGGTTAATAGTTTGAATATTTGATCGTTCGGTTACGAGGAGCTGATGAACTCGCACTTAGACAGAATACGGAAACCGCATCACGTGGTCACGTACCAAAGGGTCCTCCGGTTCCTATCATTCATAGCCCAGCTGCAGACCTTGATTGCAGACAATTCGACAGAGGTGCCTCGAGCCACCTGCGTACAGATGTTCACAGTGAGGAGTCGAACAAGAAAATGGATTACAGAACGTAACATCGCTTGGTTTCAGTATAAAACGAACCGGACCGACGAACACTGGGAGTCGTACCGAAAGTTGCAGAATAAAGTCATGTCACTAATCAAGGAAGACAAACTACAACAGCAATTCAAATTGATGACTAGGATGGAGAAAAACCCCAAACTATTGTATCAATTCGTGAATGCGCAGGCTAAAGTTAAACCAGGTATATCTGCCATAAACACAGAATCGGGAATGACTGCAAATGCGTTTGAAACAGCTAATGCCCTTGCCACATTTTATGCTTCCGTATTTTCTCCTGAAGATACCCGCGCTCCTATACAAACCGTGGAGGTACTAACGGACAAAACTTTATCGGACGTGCATATTGATCGGGCTAACATTGTCAAACACCTTCGCGGCTTACAGGTACACACTTCACCTGGTGGGGATGGCGTTACACCACTGCTTCTGCGCCACTGCGCTGAACCACTTAGCTATCCTCTGGCTAAACTGTTCGCTAGTTCTCTGGAAGAAGGGTTGGTACCAGAGGATTGGAAATGCGGGATAATAGCCCCCATATTCAAAGGAGGTATCAGAACGTGTGCATCTAACTACAGACCTGTCACTCTTCTCCCAGTAATATCAAAAGTAATGGAACGAATTATAGCAGAAGCCCTGAAATCGCACCTTGAAATTCACTCCTTGTTGAGCGATAAACAACACGGATTTCGACAGAATCGTTCTTGTTTATCCAATCTCCTCGTGACACTCGATGACTGGACACGAGCAGTCGATGCGGGAGTTACTGTACATGCCTGTTACTTGGATATATCCAAAGCCTTTGATCGAGTCGATCACAGTATCCTTCTTCGGAAACTTGAAATGTATGGCGTGACGGGAAATCTGTTGAGCTGGCTGAAAGACTATTTGAGTGACCGTTCGGTCCAAGTTCGTGTCGATGGAGCGTTTTCCGATAAAATTGCCGCCACAAGTGGTGTCCCTCAGGGTTCGGTTCTTGGTCCAATTTTGTTCCTGGTATACATGAATGACCTGCCGAAACTTCTGCAGTGCAAAACCGTACTTTTTGCTGATGACATAAAAATCTGGTCTGAAATTCATGGAAAGGCTGATTGTGATGCGCTACAGCAAGATCTGCAAAGAATCGACGAATGGTCCATCCAAAACCGGCTGCCGCTGAATTTCCAGAAATGCAAACTCATAAATCTGGGGAAGAGCTACCACTTCCCATACAAACTGGGATCCAATGAACTGGAATGGGTGGCTGAGGAAAAAGACCTCGGCGTCTGGATTTCTAGCAACCTGAAGCCGAGTAAACACTGTCTATCAGTATATCGCAAGACCTCGGCACTGCTCGGGATGCTTAGGAGAATATTTTATCGTTTTACGCCTGAAATTCTCCCTATTATCATGAACACATATCTCCGGCCGACAATGGAATACGCGATCCAAGCCTGGTCTCCATGGCTGCAAAAGGATACACAACTGCTAGAGCGTATCTACCACCGCGCGACCAAGCTGGTCATTGGCCTCCGAAACGTTCCCTACAGTGAAAGGCTACGTAAACTCGATTTGTTTGATTTAACTTATCGGCGTATACGAGGAGACCTCATCCTGATGTTCAAGATAATAAACACCCCTAATCACCCTTTAAAACATTTGTTCACAGTTAATTTGGCCCGACAGACCCGACGGAATCCATTGGCCGTTGACATTCCATGTTCCCGCATTAACTGTCGGCGCTACTTTTTTTCAGTCCGCGTATCCCTCACGTGGAACAAACTACCAACATCTGTTGTGGATTGTGGTAACCTCGAGACTTTCAAACATTCGCTTGACGAATACATAAGATCTCACCCAACTTCCCTCATCAACATTTGAGATGCAGATTACAAACAATAGAACATATATGTCATATCATTCCGTTTATCTGTATACATACACACACACCAATATCCTTTGGTCATTGTTAAGCAAAATGCTTTTTAGACCAATATAACCTTGATTTGATTTGATTTACCTTGATTTACCTGAAGTTATGATGGCAGCGCTTGGATTTAAAAAGCTGTTGGCCTAACCGGTACTACTGTTAAGCGAGATGGTTACCTTGATTTACCTTGATTTACCTGAAGTTATGATGGCAGCGCTTGGATTTAAAAAGCTGTTGGCCTAACCGGTACTACTGTTAATGAGGGCGAGATGGTCAAAGTGGTTAGATCGCGAATTTACTGACCGAAATGTCCGTGATTCGAACCTGGCATCTGTCTCTCGACTTCCCCTGCCTAGGCTTGGGCAGTATCCCAGCCCTCATGCAACCTTCGGGTGGTATGGCAGTTTCCTCAGTTTTGGGGTCAATCGGTTCCGTTGAAAGCTAGACAGAATTCAAAAACTTGGGAACTTAGAAGACCACAGGAAAACTTGGTAATGTTTCAAAGAACTGGTCAGTCACACAGGACATTGGAGATTTTATTATGGACGACTACACAAAAATCCTAATGGGAGTGGACACTTCTGCTCTTATCCCCTATAAAAGCGGATGGTTTAGCACCACTACTGACACTATAAAGCTGGTCTTTCTAAAGCAACTTTACCCTCGCTGCCTGCGCCATGCAGAAGTACTATTATGATGGCCTTTTAGTCCCTTAAGACCAAACGTGAAAAGATTCGCCAATAGGTCAGTATCAACTACTACTCCGATAACCAGGCTTTCTGGAAATAGATTTCTGAAACCACTCAACAAGGTGAATGCTCCTTAGATCCTTTCATGATTCCGACTGACAATTAAACCACACAGCCGTAAGGGATACCCCCGTCATTCTGAACAAGTACCACACTCCACGAATCCACGCCAGAGGATGATACGTTCAATGACAGATCAGTCGAGTTAGTATAATCTAGAAGGTTCTAAAGCATAACGATGGACTAGGACAGTTTACTTGAGATAGAAACCTCAAAGAGAAAGAACGCCACAAGAAGACCTAAGTGTACGCTTGGCTGACCTGTTGAACTTACAAAGAAAAATGAAATCTTATTTATAGCAGAAAGTTCTTTATGAGCATCATTGCATCTGCATTTCACAAGACTTCTCAGCCAACGTCATGGTCACACAAGAATGCAGATTATTCCCGCCTACTGGCATCACCGTATGAGATGTCACCACGGGATCCCTCGTTATTGCAGCCATTCCTCGGAGAAGTGCCATCCCTTAAGGAGGGATGGGTGATGTTACGAACACTGCATGTGATGGGGATAGCTCCCCATAGAATGAATCTTCTAGAGTTAGTGCTATAAGTGAATGCAAAAACCTCTAGACTACCTCGAGATTGATGATGGTTTTACGAGTACGGCCTATGTTGTTATATGGCTGTGACAAATGGCCTCTGCGGACATATGATGTCTTCAAGTGCCTCAGAAGCGTTGCTCGTTTTGGATGGCGTCAACGGATCAGTAACGAGATGATTAGAAAACGGGTATTTGGTTGTGCGGAAGATAATTCATTCGCGAGAAACATTCAGCACCGTCAACTGTGGTGGCTCGATAAAGTGCCACCAAGAGGGTGTCGTGTCTACTTCATGATGTCGCAAACTGCAAGGTGGATAACATATGACATGTCAGCAGGATGTGAAATATAACAGAAGAGTTTGGGTCCTGTTGGTGTCTTCCAGGATGGGTCCACGTGATCCCTCCTGTGTTCAGCTAAAGACGTTGCAAGAAATGGCGGCTGATCGATGGCGTTTGTGCTGTTAGTTTCTTTCCAGATTGTTTGACTGGGCCTTTAGAGGTATAGGCACCTCAGAATGCATGACGTAGGCCAGTACTAGGTCCCCCCTCTTTTCAATCTAAAGTTTTAAATAAAATTACATGAAATTAATGGTTGTAAGATAGTTAAGGATCGGTGTCAGCGCTGATGTTGCTGTCTCTGTTGGTGAGAATGGTTTCACTTATCCAAGTAGTACAATATAAAAATTGGAAGACTGCTGTCGATCAAGATTAGTCGCCACTCCTGCCGCCGGTTTCTCTCATCTTTGGACAACCAGCCTTCCTGGGACCGGACCGATTAGATGCTCTACGAGCGTTTTCATCTTTGTGGACTGTCACAGCCGTAGTGCTTTACTGTGATAATTTTTCCAGAGGTCTTACCCACCGCATTGTTGTGAATGCTATTTTTCCGTACAGCTGAATGCCAAAGGAAGACGGACACAAGATTTGAACACTGTAACATAAAGCTGTTGAAAATTGCCACGAGAAACAAGAAAAAACCCGGGAGTTCACTACCAAACCTGTTAGTCTTCCCATAAGCTATGGGCGA